AATTTAAATAGAGGTGCCACATCAGTTGTATTTGTTTCTGTGTTGTAATTTTTTTTAATTAATCACACGATTCAAACTGCATATATAAAGTAATTATGTGTGAAGTTTTATGTATAACATTTTCTAATTCAATTAATCGTAAGCAAATACATTATACAGTTGCCTTAAACTTAACACCCCTCTTGCCAAGTGGTACTACCTGTAGAGGTTTTTTAAACATTGCAATGCATCGTAATGGTTATTTTTAGAATGGCAAACTGGTGCAACTCTTAATACGTGTTGTAAACGTAGACACTACTAGACTAGTTCAATAATGCTTAATTGCTGCATGAAAAGAAATCTTGTATTTACATAGATGTGCCGACCAATTTTTTTTTTTTTTTTTTTTTTTTTTTGCAAATATCATTGTTTAAAACTTTGAGTTTAAAAGTTTTCAAAAAGGCGCCACTTTGCTAAAAATGGCCAGAGGGGGAGCGCCCGCTCCCCCTGCTCCCCCCCCCCCCCCTGCGTACGGTACTGATGAGTGGTAATTTTATCTTTTGTGAATTCTTCTGAGTGTTTTAATTAAAAAACTGCTTTCGTGTTTACACCTCACATTCTCGTAACTCATAATTTACCTAAGGTAACTAAAAAAACAAAACAACACATAAATATCATTTTCATATTCACAAATAGGGATAAATCAAGTATACATATATATATATATATATATATATATATATATATATATATATATATATATATATATATATATATATATACACACATATTGCCAAAAATAATACACACACACATATATATATATATATATATATATATATATATATATATATATATATATATATATATATATATAAATAAATAAATAAATAAATAAATATATATATATATATATATATATATATATATATATATATATATATATATATATATATATATATATATATATATATATATATACCCAATGTATTATATCTCGATACCATTATTCACACTTTTCATAATTCCATCTCAGACAAGTTTACGCGCGAAACCATTTCTGGACAAAGTCCTGACGCCACTAGGCGGTTGGCACGTGCTGGGGAACTGGGACGTCGCCAAGTTCAACTTCCACCAGCAGCTCAAGGTCGTCCACATCGACTTCATGGTGGACGCCTTCTTCACGTACATCCTGAACGTCAACTCACTCGACTGGAACCAGAGGGTCGTCGAGGTCAGTGAACTTTGGTTCTAGTCCTTGGGTGGATACACAGTGTGTGTGTCACATGTTGGACCCGTGTAGCGGGCTTGTACTGGATGGACTAGACAGATTTGTTCTGTTGTGATCTACTGCTCCCATCTACTGATCCCATATACTGCTCCCATCTACTGCTCCCCTCCCATCTTCTGCTCCCATCTAGTGCTCCCATCTACTGCTTCCATCTACTGCTCCCATATACTGATCCCATATACTGATCCCATCTACTGCTCCCATCTACTGCTCCCATCTACTGCTCCCATCTACTGCTCCCATCTACTGCTCCCATCTACTGCTCCCCTCCCATCTACTGCTCCCATCTACTGCTCCCCTCCCATCTTCTGCTCCCATCTTCTGCTCCCATCTACTGCTCCCAACTACTGCTCCCATCTACTGCTCCCATCTACTGCTCCCATCTACTGCTCCCATCTACTGCTCCCATCTACTGCTCCAATCTACTGCTACCATCTACTGCTCCCATCTACTGCTCCCATCTACTGCTCCCATCTACTGCTCCCATCTACTGCTCCCATCTACTGCTCTCATCTACTGCTCCCCTCCCATCTTCTGCTCCCATCTAGTGCTCCCATCTACTGCTTCCATCTACTGCTCCCATATACTGATCCCATATACTGATCCCATCTACTGCTCCCATCTACTGCTCCCATCTACTGCTCCCATCTACTGCTCCCATCTACTGCTCCCATCTACTGCTCCCATCTACTGCTCCCCTCCCATCTACTGCTCCCATCTACTGCTCCCCTCCCATCTTCTGCTCCCATCTTCTGCTCCCATCTACTGCTCCCAACTACTGCTCCCATCTACTGCTCCCATCTACTGCTCCCATCTACTGCTCCCATCTACTGCTCCCATCTACTGCTCCCATCTACTGCTCCAATCTACTGCTACCATCTACTGCTCCCATCTACTGCTCCCATCTACTGCTCCCATCTACTGCTCCCATCTACTGCTCCCATCTACTGCTCCCATCTACTGCTCCCATCTACTGCTCCCATCTACTGCTCCCATGTACTGCTCCCATCTACTGCTCCCATCTACTGCTCCCATCTACTACTCCCATCTACTGCTCCCATCTACTGCTCCCATCTACTACTCCCATGTACTGCTCCTAGCTACTGCTCCCCTCCCATTTACTGCTCTCCTACCATCTACTGCTCCCATCTACTGCTCCCATCTTCTGCGCCCATCTACTGCTCCCATCTACTACCCCCATCTACTTGCCTCTACTGCTCCCATCTACTGCTCCCATCTACTGCTCCCATCTACTGCTCCCATCTACTGCTCCCATCTACCTGCCTCTACTGCTCCTATCTACTGCTCCCCTCCCAACTACTGCTCATATCTACTGCTCCCATCTACTGCTTCCATCTACTGCTCCCCTCCCATTTACTGCTCCCATCTACTGCTCCCATCTACTGCTCCCATCTACTGCTCCCATCTACTGCTCCCATCTATTGCTCTCATCTACTGCTCCCATCTACTGCTCCCATCTACTGCTCCCATCTACTTCTCTCATTTACTGCATCTATCAACTGCTCCCATCTTCTGCTCCCATCTACTGCTCCCATCAACTGCTCCCATCTTCTGCTCCCATCTACTGCTCCCATCAACTGCTTCCATCTACTGCTTCCATCTACCGCTCCCATATACTGATCCCATATACTGCTCCAATCTACTGCTCCCATCTTCTGCTCCCATATACTGCTCCCATCTACTGCTCCCATCTACTGCTCCCATCTACTTCTCTCATCTACTGCTCCCATCTACTGCTCCCATCTACTGCTTCCATCAACTGCTCCCATCTTCTGCTCCCATCTACTGCTCCAATCTACTGCTCCCATCTACTGCTCCAATCTACTTCCATCTACTGCTCCCATATACTGCTCCCATATACTGATCCCATCTACTGCTCCCATCTACTGCTCCAATCTACTGCTCCCATCTACTGCTCCAATCTACTGATTCCATCTACTGCTCCCATCTACTGCTCCCATCTACTGCTCCCATCTACTGCTTCCATCTACTGCTCCCATATACTGATCCCATCTACTGCTCCCATCTACTGCTCCAATCTACTGCTACCATCTACTGCTTCCATCTACTGCTCCCCTCCCATCTACTGCTTCCATCTATTGCTCCCATCTACTGCTCCCATCTACTGCTCCCATCTACTGCTCCCATCTACTGCTCCCATCTACTGCTACCATCTTCTGCTCCCATCTACTGCCCCCATCTACTGCTCCCATCTAATGCTCCAATCTACTGCTCCCATCTACTGCTCCCATCTACTGCTCCTATCTACTGCTCCCATCTACTGCTCCCATCCACTGCTCCCGTTTACTGCTCCCAACTACTGCTCCAATCTACAATTCCCATTTACTGCTCCCATTTACTGCTCCCATCTACTGCTCCCATCTACTGCTCCACTTCTACGATATATAATTTATTTTAAATGTCTAGCATTCATATGGAATAGTGTATGTTTTTAATAGTAACCAGGTATTTTCCCACGTTTTCTTTAACTTGCTTTCGCGTCTGTTTGTTTGTTTTCCAATCAAATCTTGCGATCGAAATTTCGGGCACTTCCCAGTTAGCTAGCTCGCTGAAATTTTCTGGGAAGCTTTGTTTCCGATGACAATAGAATATTCAATCGTTATTATTTCAATATAAGTAAGGAAAAAGTAAAATACAAAATAACAACTGGTTTTAACGTCATTTCAAGTAATAGCTATTCAGTTGTGAAAAATCCCAAAAAGTTGCACTTTTTAGATTTAAATACAGGGCTTTTTTTTATTCTCATGTTTTCAATTTCAGTTTACTTACGGTGGAATTGGATTGCAATATATGATTTATACCAATGAAAATTATAGACAGGTAGGCCTACATAATATACATACATATATTAACACCGACTCACACACCGACACACACACACACACCGACACACACACACACACACACACACACACACACACACACACACACATATATATATATATATATATATATATATATATATATATATATATATATATATATATATATATATATATATATATATATATATATATATATATCAACAACCTAACTTGACTTCCACTGGGCCGATGACTTGACCAGTTTGTGGACGCCTACAAAGTTTACATGCGGGCGGTGGCGGAGAAGATGGTGGCAGACGCCAAAAACCTCAACATGGTGGTGGGGAACGACACGGATGTGGCCGTTAGGGTCGAGGAGTTCCTGAGTGACGCCTTTGAGGTGGAGCTTCTGGTTGCCAAGGTGAGTGACGCGAGCTTCTGGTTGCCACGGTGAGTGACGCGAGCTTCTGGTTGCCACGGTGAGTGACTCGAGCTTCTGGTTGCCAAGGTAATTGACTGCCAGAACAGATGATTGCTAGTTGAAGTTTTATTTGATAATTACTTGATGTTTTGATGATGTTTTGATTTGGGTTAAAAATTCTGATGTTTTCATGTTGTTTGCTGATGTTAAGCTAGTGTTTTTTATGGTCTTTTGATGTTTGCTCTTGTTTTGCTGATGTTTTGCTTATGTTTTGCTTATGTTTTGATGATGTTTTGATGATGTTTTGATGATGCTTTAATGATGTTTTGACAATGTTACGATGATATTTAACAGACCATCCCATACACGACCAAACAAAACGAGCCCCACAACGAGGAGAACAGGCTGACACTCGCTCAACTGACCGAACTTTTTGACAACCAGGTAAGCGTGTACTCACCAACACTCTCCACTAAACACCTACCTCTCCAAGGTCGTGACCTCCCCAGATTGTAAACCACTCGGTCGCGAAAAAAAAAATTGTTTAAAAAATTTACAACCGGGCGTGCGACCAGCTGTACAGTCCCACTTGTGGTATCATAATCCCGAAATAGATTTTAACCTTGAGATCAATTTAACCAATGGTTCTTTAAGGCATCTTAAATATATACTTTTACCACTGCCCCCCCCCCCCCATCGAAAAATGTAGCCCCCCCCCTCCCTCACGCAAGTTTTAACTGCCCCCCCCCCTCCCTCACGCAAAAAAAGGTCCGAAACACAAAATTTAATGGTAAAAAATATTTTAAATAAAAAAGTCTAAAATTGAGCCAACTCAGCACTAATGGATACCTTTCATAACTTGGGGATAACAAAGACGGACTGTTTACAAAAATACGAATTCATTTATCGAAATATCAGACAGGGTGCGCGGTTTTTTAAAAATGTAACCATTGTCAAAAATTATTTGCTTTATGTTTTCTGTTAACATCGTTGGTTGTTTACTTATGTGGTTTATTTTGTCTGTTCGCTGCTTGTTTGACGTGGGTGGTTTCTTTACTACGAGCCGACCCGAGGCATATCATATGCCTCTATTTAGTTGTTTTATTTTCTACTTTTCAGTAATTCATAATTTGTGAATTCGACAGTACCAATGCTGCCACTGAAAATATTTGCTTTAAAACACTATCAGTAGGTCGTTAAGAACGATACTACCCCCACCCTCCTTTCCCCCAACCCCTACCCCCATCCTCCTTTCCCCCAACCCCTACCCCTACACCCCCCGTGAAAGCAGCCTCCTCTTAGCTACCTCCCCGAAGTTTAAAATCGTTTCAAACTAAATTATCTGCCCCTAATAGCCGTCACTAAACCCGGCTCTACGAATGTAAACATTTAGCGTGAACCACAGCTCACCAGACCATGTAGGGTTGGGGGTGGTTGGGAGCGGGCTTACATCTTGTTTTCTAGCGTCTCCCAGAAGAGAATTATATATATACGAGCCGGCCCGCGGCATAACATACGCCGCTATTTAGTTGTTTCTAATTTTCAATAATTCATAATTTGTGAATTCGACAGTACCAACGCTGACACTGAAAATATTTCTTTAAAACACTATAAGTAGCTCGTTAAGGACCATAAACCCCCCCCCCCCTTCCTTCCCCCCCCCTCCCCCCCCCTTACGTTTAAAATCGTTGGCTCTGCTTGTAAACATTTAGAGTGAACACAGCTCACTAAAACCATGTAGGGGTGGGGAGGTAGGGAGAGCGTTTGCAGCTTGTTTTCTAACGGCTCGAAGAGGAGAATTATATATATATATATATATATATATATATATATATATATATATATATATATATATATATATAGATGGCTTTTTGTTTCTAGCTGGATTTCGTGGACTACCTCAAGACCCTGTTCAACGACATACCGGAACGGTTCAAGGATACCACGACGGTCGCCGTTCTACTGAAGGACTATTTTCACAAGCTGGGCCCGAAGATTTCAGATCTCCTGCAGACTGATGTGGGGAAAAGGTCAGTGACCTTGACATTTTATTTTAATGAATTTTTTTTTTCAATTTGAGTTGAATTTAAGAGTAGCCTCCCCTTTACACAATCTCCACTAGACCGCTTGGTTGGGGGTCATCCATTTATGACGTCCACACGCGTGGGGGGGGGGGGGGGTCCGAAAAAACTGACTTTTGTGGACGCATATGGACTTTTATAAAGAATAAAATACTTAAAAAAACTTTTAAAAAAACCACGTTTTTCTTGTGGACTAAAAAGTAGAAAATAAAATTTTCTTTTGTGCTTCCTCGAGCTGTGCAGATTCTTGTGATGACTGACATAAAACGTGGGTACGTTCACCATCAAATTTCCCGACCCATCTGCCCGACCCACGTTTTTTGTCAGTCATCACAAGAACCTGCACAGCTCGAGGAAGCACAAAAGAAAATTTTATTTTCTACTTTTTAGTCCACAAGAAAAACGTGGTTTTTTAAAAAGTTTTTTTAAGTATTTTATTTTCTCCTTTTTAGTCCGTTGCTACACATGAAAAACGTGGTTTTTAAAAAAGTGTTTATAAATACACGGACTAAAAATCTTGAGCGACCAGGATTCGAACCTGGGTTGTCGCGGCCACAACGCGAAGTACTAACCACTATACGATCACGGCCAGCGCGCTCACATCGATTGGGGCCGAAGTAACTGGGTCAATAGGCCTCCAGTCTTGTCGGTATCTTTAGAAATCATGTCCTCAATTTTATGGTCCTTGGGGCGTAATTAAATTAAGCTAATTACGGTCACTAATTGCTAGTTTTTATGATTGCATCTGAAATTGTTAGGCGAAAGTAGCATGCATGCCAAATTTCAGGTCTCTAGAGCAATCAGAAGTGGGCTAATTTTCGATGTCAATTTTAACAACAAACATCCAAACAACCAAACAAACAAACGCGAAGCTGAGTTAAGAAAAACGTGTTAAAAAAAGTGGATTTTTGTGGACGGGTGGGGGGGGGGAGGAGGTCCAAAATAAAAAAAAAATTGTGGACATCATAAATGGATGACCCCTTGCTGGATTCGGGTTTGAGGGTCTATTTAAACATGACCGTGTCCACTCAGCTTAAATCAGTACCTGGCTTAATCGGGTAAACTAAAATAGATTGTATCTTTGTGCCGTCTACACGATAAGTTACACAAGGCTACGGGGTTTGGAAAAACAAGCTATTAATCTCCCAGACTACGAATGTCCCCTACTACGAACACCATTATTCATCAATACCTCGGGTTACGAATACTCACGTCAGCAAAATCTAGAGATACGAATATTATACCATGAATGTACCGAGTTTCAATACACCGGACTACGTTTTAATAACGAACATCCTAAACCAAAAACTACAAACGTTTTAAAAACTTCGTTTCATCAAGAGCAGTCTTACATTCATACACCAAAGACACACATATTTGTCTAAGCCTTACACCAAGGTCACACATATATTTGTCTCAGTCTTACATTCGAACACCAAGGACACACATATTTATCTCAGTCTTATATTCGAACACCAAGGACACATATATTTGTCTCAGTCTTACATTCGAACACCAAGGACACACATATTTATCTCAGTCTTATATTCGAACACCAAGGACACATATATTTGTCTCAGTCTTTTATTCAAACACCAAAGACACACATATTTGTCTCAGTCTTACATTCAAACACCAAAGACACATATTTGTCTCAGTCTTACATTCGTAGACGTAGGACACATATATAGGTCTCAGTCTGACATTCGAACACCAAGGCCACACATATTTGTCTCAGTCTTACATTCAAACACCAAAGACACATATATTTGTCTCAGTCTTACATTCAAACACCAAAGACACATATATTTGTCTCAGTCTTACATTCGTAGACTTAGGACACATATATAGGTCTCAGTCTGACATTCGAACACCAAATTCACACATATATAATGGTCTCAGTCTGACATTCGAACAACAAATACACACATATTTGTCTCAGTCTTACATTCGAACAACAAATACACACATATTTGTCTCAGTCTTACATTCGAACAACAAATACACACATATTTGTCTCAGTCTTACATTCGAACAACAAAGACACACATATTTGTCTCAGTCTTACATTCAAACACCAAGGCCACACATATTTGTCTCAGTCTTACATTCGAACAACAAAGACACACATATTTGTCTCAGTCTTACATTCGAACAACAAAGACACACATATTTGTCTCAGTCTTACATTCAAACACCAAGGCCACACATATTTGTCTCAGTCTTACATTCAAACACCAAGGCCACACATATTTGTCTAAACCAATAACATTGCTGTTATCTTTTAATTTCCCACGGTGTTGTTATAACTGTACTCAACACCGGGCACGTGACTAATGTCAACCTGACCTCTGTTCCAGAAAAATCCACAACTACCTGGTCTGGCAGCTGATGGACTTTTTCGCAGGTGAGCTGAGCTGGGACTACACGCACGTCAAGCAAAATCTGGAGTCTTTCATCAACAACAAGGTGGACGAGAAGACCGACCTGAACAGGTGTTTTACAAAGGTGAGCAGGTGACAGGTGTTTTACAAAGGTGAGCAGGTGACAACATAGAGACATGGACATGTGTTTTACAAAGGTGAGCAGGACATGAGACAGGTGTTTTACAAAGGTGAGCAGGTGACAACATAGAGACATGGACAGGTGTTTTACAAAGGTGAGCATGACATGAGACAAGATAGTATCATTGATAAATATTTCACAGAAGTGAATAGAACACACGACAACATTAGATGCATACATTTAAGGGCTGCATAACATAAGATGTTTTAAAAAGCTGCATACGTTCTAGTTTAAACTGCATTTAATTTTTATAGGTTTAAAGCCTTCAAAAGGATTTTCATTTAGAAAAAAAAAGTCTGTTAAGTCTCAATGTATCTCTGTCTATGGATTTTAGTCAGTTTTATGTAGTCAACTATATTTTGACTTTCCAGCTAAGTGTATTTCCGATAACAATGCATAATATGTATTTTGTAATCTCATTAGTTATAGTAGATTACTGAAATCAGTCTTGTGAGCCAGTTTTCACAGGCGTAAAAAGTGTTTTAAAGAGTTTTTTAAATACAGGATTTATCTAAAATTTATTCCAATACTAATGATCATTACCTCTCGATTTGTGAAGGTCATGACCTTGACGCTTTAATTTTTTTTTCCTCCCCCCCCCCCCCACTAGGCCAGGCAGACTATGGCTGACGCCATCAACGCTGAGTATGTCAAATATTTCATCAAACAAGAGAACAAGGTCGAGGTCAGTCTGTCAACTTTGACCTATCTTACACTGCTAAAAGATTTAATCTGCGGTATTGTTAAGTTAGATTGTACTAAAATGTCCTGCTCTTTTATCATAAAATCTCATATAATAATTTCTTATATACCCAACATTGTAGAGACCTCCCTTCTGCAAGGACATTGCTTTTTTAGCACATTCTTTACTTTCCTACTGCTAGCAATTTAGGCAATTTTTTCCTGATAGGACTTTCTTTCTTGACAACGCTGCCTATGTATTCACAATGACCCCCCTTTTCCATGACAACGCTGCCTATGTATTCACAATGACCCCCCCCCCCCCTTTTCCATGACAACGCTGCCTATGTATTCACAATGACCCCCCTTTTCCATGACAACGCTGCCTATGTATTCACAATGACCCCCCCTTTTCCATGACAACGCTGCCTATGTATTCACAATGACCCCCCCCTTTTCCATGACAACGCTGCCTATGTATTCACAATGACCCCCCCGCCTTTTCCATGACAACGCTGCCTATGTATTCACAATGACCCCCCCCTTTTCCATGACAACGCCGCCTATGTATTCACAATGACCCCCCCCCCCCCCCTTTTTCCTTGACATTCTCCCTGGACCTTCCTTCCTCAAGTAACTTCCTTCCTTCATTATTCAACTCCCGTCTAATTTATAATTCCCATTTACTAATTAATACAACTATTGTATACTACAATTTGGAAGCTTTCATCCTATGGTCATATTGTATACTGCTATATTTATTTTCCTAGGCGACAGAAATAATTGGACGCATAAAAGATGAGTTGGTCAATGAGTTAAGAAATGTCCAATGGATGACCGCTGAGACAAAAAATCTGGCTATCGAAAAGGTAGATTTTAAAAACTTTCTAGAACATTGCAAGGTTAGTGGTCGTGTCGGTACTGGTCGCGGCTGATAAAACGTTAAGTTCTCAGCAGATGCGGCTTGATAGTCGGGACAGGAACTAATCAAAGAAAGGACTCTAAACATCAAACAACAGCTGGATTGAAGTCTATTCGTGGTTGGTCACAGGCTATGGAAGCAAGTCCAGTAAGAAAAGCAGGCGGAAATCGACAGTCTAAATGCCGCATTACAAATTGACATGTAGTACTTTAGTAGTAGTATGTTAGAGGAAACACTGTCCAGCATTACAATTAAGAACACAGAAAAAGATGAAGACGAGAAGGCTTGTAGGTCTATTAGCGTCATGAGAGAATATCTGGGCATGCTAAACACTGAGATATTACGTGAAGATTATAGCATTCCTATTAGGGGAGTCACACGCTAGCAAAAGTCATATTGCGGAGTTTGTTATTATTGTATTTGCTTTAAGTTTTGTTTGTGTTTAACTTTGTGTTGGACTGACTTTGTGTTTGTGTTGGACTGATTTTGTGTTTGTGTTGGACTGAGTTTGTGTTTAACTGTGTGTTGGACTGGGTTTATGTTAAACTGATATGTTGGACTAGCCATCCCATTCAAAAACACCTTAAAGTTTAACGTTGCTTTGAGGTTTATATTACTTAAATGTTTTTTAATACTCAACAAAAGTCAGATTTCATTGAGATTAAAATGAATTCAGCTTTAATAAAAATAAACCCAGATAAAATGGAGCTGAAATCTTAGTAAGTTTAAATACAGCTTTAATAAAAATATAATTAAAACTTTGTTTAAATTTTTTGATATAGTTAAAATTAATTAATCTTTAATCAAAATAGAATAAAAATTCCGTATTGCCCAAATTATTTCCAGATACAGGGTAGTCTATACAAAATTGGACACGCTGAGTACTTGATCAATGACACTTACATAGACAACTTGTACGCAAAGGTACGTGTCGCACTTAGTAATTTATATCACTTACATAGACAACTTGTACGCAAAGGTACGTGTCGCACTTAGGTAATTTATATGCCAGATAGTGTGGTAATTATATGTTAGAAAGTGGGGTAATTATAAGCAAAATATTGAGGTAATTGTAAGTTAGAAAGTGAGGAATTTTAAAGTGAGATAATTATAAGGAAGTAAGTGAGATAAGTATAAGGAAGTAAAGAAGTAATTGTAAGTTTGAATTTAAATTATTAAAAGTAACTTTAAAAGGCAGCAAGAAAATAAACTAATAACGCAATGACAAGACCGAACATGTGGTCATATAACCCTGATATATATATATATATATATATATATATATATATATATATATATATATATATATATATATATATATATATATATATATGCATGTGCCCCAGATTAACATAACGGATAAAGACCACTTTGGCAACATACTAAACATGAACCAATGGACGCGCATCAGAATGAACGAGTTGATGAAAAAACCGGACGCCAGAACGACGTGGGCGTATCCCGTCTATCAACCCGCTGTTGAGTACTTCAACCCCTGGCACGAGCTCATCGCAACCTCGGCACTCTTTCAGGTACTCAGTGCTCTAGGTGACCGTTTGGTTAATCGCGATGACAGTAGGTTTAGGTTTAAAAGATTAAAGTAATCACCTCAAATCCATTTTTGGTAGGTCTACATTCATTTCAGAGAGGATATTAATTTTTTTGGATTTTCACCAAGGCTATCCTTATATTAACACACACACATACATACATAAAAAATACACACACACACATACACATATATATATATGTATATATATTGTATATATATATATATATATATATATATATATATATATATATATATATATATATATATATATATATATATATATATATATATATATATATCCCGACAGAACCCACTTTTTGACCATGGAGGACCCGACTACTACAACTATGGAAGTATCGGTTCGTTAATCGCCTCTCACCTGATACATTCTGTTGACCTAATTGGTGAGTGCTCCAATAACATTTTTTGTTATTGTGTGGGCCTAGGGCCTAAAACTGTTGGGTATTGTGTAGGTCAAAGGTCCTATTGTGGTATTGTGTTGGTGAGGACCATAGACAAATGATATAACCACTAGTCACATGATCTGTCTCTAGGCAACCAATACAAGCTCGACGGCAGCAACTTAGGCACGTGGTGGAGTAATCAGACGTTTTACAACTACAAGGAGATCCATCAGTGTGCTGTGGATGCGCAGAAAGGTCTCATCATTGGGCCTTTTACTTTAGGAGATAATCAGTACACGGTGAGACAACTATATATATATATATATATATATATATATATATATATATATATATATATATATATATATATATGTATACGCTTAGTAACAAAATATTTCTTTAACCCCATGATATAGGCCTATGTGTTTAAATGTTGATTATTTGACGTGAGTTTATCTCCCCTCGTCTAGGTCAACGTCTCCAGCTATGCCACGGTACACGCCCCTCTTATGTTGGCGGATACAAGCGGATTAAAGTTAGCCTACAGGGTGAGTAGGTCATAACTTCAAGGGGTGGGGGAGGGGTGGGGGAGGATGGGTGGGTGGGTAGGTAGGGAGGGTACAGGGTGAATAAGCTAAACTTTTAAGGGAAGGGGGCGTTGGGGGAGGATGGGTGGGCAGGTAGGGTACAATGTGAGTAGGCCAAAACTTCACGGGAAGGGGGGGGGGTGATGGCAGGTAGGGTACAGAGGTGGGTTGACAGAGGGATTGGGGGATGGAGGACATAGATGGGTCGACATAGTTGAATATCTGGTGCATTTTTGGGTGTGCCTAGACGTTAATGATCACTTAGCACAGATTTAAACTGTAGTTGGTAGATGAGGAAGAAACGGTATGTACGTCTGTGTACAGTATTGCATATTTCCAAGTTCATACGATCTAGTAATGGCAATGATGTTGTCACCCCCAGGCTTACAAGAAACTGATATCTGAGCGGGAGGAAGAGAAACTACCTGCAGGTATACACAAGTACACGATCGATCAGATGTTCTTTGTCGCCTACGCTCAGGTAAGTCACAGCTCTGTATGTGTATTATATGACGACAGGGTTGGTGTACGTGCTTTGGTGATGGTGTGGTGCTTATGGTGGTGATGGTGTGGTGATGTTGCTGGCGGTAGTGGTGATGGTGATAATGGTGCTCGTCCTGGTGCAGGTGATAGTGATAATGGTGATGTTGCTGGTGGTGGTGATAGTAATTTTGATGATGTTGCTGGTGGTGGTGTTAATGATAGTGGTGATGGTGCTTATGTTGGTAATAGGGTAGGGCGGTGATGTTGCTGCTGGTGGTGTTGGTGATAATGGTGAATGGTGTTTATGGTGCTGATGCGGTGGGGCGATGATAATCCTAGGGGTGGTGGTGGTGATAGTGGCGATGGTGCTGGTGGAGGTGATAGTGATAGAAGTAATGGTGGTTGTGGAGGTGAAAGGGTGTGTGTCGGTGATATTGCTGGTGTTGGTGGCGGTGGTGATAGTGGTGATAATGATTACTGTTGTGGTGTTAGTGGTTTGAAGAAGGGTGGGGGTAATGGATTTGGTATGGAAAAGCTTATCGAAGTGATAGAACGATGTTTTGGTGTCTCGCTTTGTATTGACATCCTATTTGTAGGGTTATTCAAACATCTCGTAACGGCAAGTGATGTTCAGCGGGATCTGAACTCTGGACTTTCGGGTTAGCGCTTCTACTCACTGCCGCCCAACCATGTCGTGTGCGATGTTAAATTAGAAGACGGAAATTTCCGAAACTAACTTTTTATTATGTACTTTCCTAAAATTTGAATCTGAAATTTCACGAACTCGTTATGTTAATATGTATGGATCTTCTTAGCACATACGCCCAATACAAATTTTATACCAATCCTGGTCTAAGAGATTCCACGTTACAAGAATAATAATAACAAAAGTATTTTTATTATTATTATTATTATTTTTTACACCTGAATGTATTGTTTGATCCAGGCGAACTGTCAAAACACGGCCGATATGTTGAAGCTGACAAGAGTTCTGTCCCGTGTGTACCCAAGTAAAGAGAGGTAACTGCTGGTTTTCTTTCATTCTTCAACTATTTTATATACGGCACATCTACAGTAACTACTAACAGTTTACACTAAATGATAAGCATTGTTATTTAGTGTACTGAGAAGCAATGAGATTTGAATTTAAAATATAAAGAAGACTAGTGTACGTTTTAAATAAAAATAAAAAATAAAAAAAAACTGTAAATACGTCAAATGTTACATATTTTAAATAGATTGGACATTTTTATTCTATGATGTCTAAATACATTACATTTAGTTCAATGTTTTCATATTCGGGGCAGGTGAAATAGTTCTTCTGTTTTTAACTTCCTCGGAATATAAGAGGATAGTGATATAAACATGGTTCCATGACAAATGATCTCAGGACAACTGATAAGTCCATATTCGGCACTATATATATATATATATATATATATATATATATATATATATATATATATATATATATATATATATATATATAGTGCCGAATATGGACTTATCATATATATATATATATATATATATATATATATATATATATATATATATATGCAGGTTTATATTGTCCATTTTTGCAGGGTGAATCTGGCAGTGTCCCAGCTACCAGAGTTTAGACAAGCGTTTCAGTGTAAAGAAGAGGAACCAATGGCACCAAAACAAACGTGTACTCTGGTCTAGTGAGAGGTCAAGGTGCGACTGTTGTGGGTGGACTAGAGGTCAACATGCGACTGTTGTGGGTGGACTAGAGGTCAACATGCGACTGTTGTGGGTGGACTAGTGGTCAACATGCGACTGTTGTGGGTGGACTAGAGGTCAACATGCGACTGTTGTGGGTGGACTAGAGGTCAACATGCGACTGTTGTGGGTGGACTAGTGGTCAACGTGCGACTGTTGTGGGTGGACTAGAGGTCAACATGCGACTGTTGTGGGTGGACTAGTGGTCAACATGCGACTGTTGTGAGTGGACTAGAGGTCAACATGCGACTGTTGTGGGTGGACTAGTGGTCAACGTGCGACTGTTGTGGGTGGACTAGAGGTCAACATGCGACTGTTGTGGGTGGACTAGAGGTCAACATGCGACTGTTGTGGGTGGACTAGTGGTCAACATGCGACTGTTGTGGGTGGACTAGAGGTCAACATGCGACTGTTGTGGGTGGACTAGTGGTCAACGTGCGACTGTTGTGGGTGGACTAGAGGTCAACATGCGACTGTTGTGGGTGGACTAGTGGTCAACATGCGACTGTTGTGAGTGGACTAGAGGTCAACATGCGACTGTTGTGGGTGGACTAGTGGTCAACGTGCGACTGTTGTGGGTGGACTAGTGGTCAACGTGCGACTGTTGTGGGTGGACTAGTGGTCAACGTGCGACTGTTGTGAGTGGACTAGAGGTCAACATGCGACTGTTGTGGGTGGACTAGTGGTCAACATGCGACTGTTGTGGGTGGACTAGTGGTCAACGTGCGACAGTTGTGGGTGGACTAGAGTTCAACATGCGACTGTTGTGGGTGGACTAGTGGTCAACATGCGACTGTTGTGGGTGGACTAGAGGTCAAAGTGCGACTGTTATAAGTGAGCTTGCTGAATTCCTTAGTGTGTACGTTGAAGCCTGGGAATTTTCAAAAAAACGTCGACCTTATAAGCTTGGAATGTGTGTGTTAGTATTTTTCTATGGTGAAATGTTATAGTTTCTCAGAGGCGTAGCTAGGCTTGGGGAAAAGGGGCTGCCTACGTCTGAAATACACTATGTAAATATGTTACGAAAATTTGAACATATATATATATATATATATATATATATATATATATATATATATATCTGGAGAAAATACCATGTAGTACTGAGTAATACAACAAATTGTTCAAAAACTGTTTATTGTTTGGTAATACAAGGAAATATATTTTTGTAAAAAAAAAATTGACTTGCCCTTGCCTCCTTACCCCCCCCCCCCCCAAATTATCCCCCTCTCCTCAAATCTAAACCCTAATACATGAAGTCTAACGATGTTATTCATATAATTCCCAACCCTTTACCAACCTATATTTTCTATCTTCGACATCTACTGTTTTTAAGTATAGGTGTTCAAATTTTCGATGTTTAATTATTCTGTGTTACAATAAATTTGCATAATAATACACGTGCATTAGTGCTGAGAGTTATTTCCCCTGAACATGCGCTGCATTCACAACATTAAACTATTTATATACCATCAGGTTTTCCCGGTCTTAAAATAAACCCTCGGTATCGCCAAAGTTTTATGAATGAACTAACAAGTTGATTTGTGTTGCTGTTTTTAACATTCCTTTGTTATTATACACTGAAAATGTATTATAAATGTTTTGTTTTTACTTTTAAGTAGTTGTTATGCTATATTTAGAATATATATATATATATATATATATATATATATATATATATATATATATATATATATATATATATATATATGCATAAATTTATAATAAGTGGCGTCACTAGGTCGAGTGTCACCTGGTGCTGTGAGTGAGGGTGTCACCCCCCTCCCCTCCAACAATTATATATTTTTGGTTTGGTGTCGACCCCATTCCCCTGCATTTTTTTTTGTATTCTACCTGGATAAAACATTGTTTGGTCAGTAAATTTTACGATTCTTGTTCGTGGGGAAACGATGTCACCCGGTCCGCACCGCCTTGTAACGCCAATATATATGTATATATATATATATATATATATATATATATATATATATATATATATATATATATATATATATATATATATATAAAAGATCATTTGTTGAATGGGTCAATGCGGGTGTGTGTGGGTGTGTATGGGGGCGAAAGGGGCGTGCTGGGGGCTTGATACTCACATATGAGAATCCCAATCATCTGCCGAGTATTTATTTCTTAAAATCAACACATCTGAAAGACATCTGAGCAAAAATAACTAGAACAAAAACAACAGTGCCACTATACAGGCAAGTCCTCACTTTATAGGGCTTAATGAGCATATAGCCCCCTCCCCACCCCTTAGACGCCCATCGCACGCTCTTGGTCATGCTTAGACTTAAAGCTTATTATAATATAAATAATAATCTAATTTTGCGTTTATACTTTTATACACTTCCATTTTGTAGAGTTTATATTTTGTTATAAGAGCTTGTTACATTTGTAGCCCCTATATTCTAAAATATACTACATATTTAATATATTTTTATAATCTTATTAATGTCTTACTGTATTATAGAAATTATTTGTCTTTCTGTACGATAAATGTCTTTCTGTATTATTTTTAGATTTGCTGATTTAGCGTGTCTAAAAATGTTACCCAGATTTTGTTTTCATGAAATGCCAAAATTTATATAATTGAATAAAAAATATTTGGTACTTTTTTTTACTTCTATTTTCATTTGTTTATAAATAAAAGTATTTTATTAGATGGCGATTATTGAGTGATCACTGATAAAAATGCTTTTATTTTTTTTTTATTTCGCTGTCGAGTGGTGAAGTAAACAAATAATTAATGAGAAATATTAAATTACCATTCAAACAGAGATTTTAAAATAAATTTCTCAGGAAACTAAATACAATGAAAAAACATTAAAACTATTTTATGGTGTTAAGTTTCACATATCACTTTTAGTACTAAATTTGTTTTATGTCTTCTAGTAAATATGTCTGACCTGATTTTAATTTAGTGACTCAATTAACAGCCATACGTGTAGATAAAAAAATATCTTATATTTTATTTATTTTTTAAATGTACACAAAATAGAATTTACTATGATTTTGTACTTATTTTAAAACTGCTGATGTAAGCTTAAATTATTTTTTTTCTATGTTTTTATTTTTATTTGGTGAGATCACTTTCATGTTTTGTAAAATATATTCAATTACACAGATGAAATGTGAGATGAAAATATTAGACAAGGCAAACAATTGTATATTATTCTTTTAAATTTCTTATCTAAAAGGTGTTACAGCTACATAACAGTTGTTTTAATTTCGGTGCTTCTTTCGGGTCTACGACGAATTCCCGAAAGACAATTGCCCGAATGCCGTTAGTCCCAAGGCCGATTTCCCGAATGGACACTTGCCAGAATGCGACAAGTGCCCCAAAGTCAATTTTCAGAAGGCCGTTCTCCCGAAAAATGTTAGTATTATATATTACTAAATAATTATCAGTAATAAAATTTAATTTGAAATTTTGATAAGCATTTCATATCTCAACAAAAAGAAAGGGGAAAAAAAATAATATTTCATATTACAACGAAGATAATTCTTAATTAATTTGTACTTGCTAGATAAAAAATGTATAAACATATTTTCTTTCCGATCATGAAACGAGACAAAAGTATAATTTTCGTTTATCTCAGGTTTTTTAAAATGAATTTTGCTTTCTTCATGAAGTAATCGTTTCAATGCATTGTCTAAACAAGGTGCACTAAATGGATATAAAACATAATTGACTACCTTTAGTTTTTAAATTCGCAACTCATTCTTTTGTGAATGCTCACGTCACAAGTTAAGCATAACAAGATAAATCAAACAAATGATCCTCTGTTCAATATCGCTAACGCCGCACCGCCTACATAGTGCAAGAAAAGATAAATAACCACCGTAAAACGTCGGCTAAACAAGTGTTCAAAACATTCAACAAAAGAATGTTAAGACATCACCGTACATTTATTAAAGAATAAAGATTTTTGTTTTTTACAGCAATTTCTCAGTTTTCAAAAAATAAATTTTAAATTTAAAAAATATATACAACTTTGTTTTTATGCTTAAAATTATGTTTATTATCACAATTTCAAACTTGAATTGATTAAGAATGTCTATTTGGTAATATTATTTATTACCTTATATTAACATTTTTCGGGCAAACGGCCTTCGGGCAAGTGTCCATTCGGGCATTTGTCGCATTCGGGCAAGTGTCCATTCGGGAAATGGGCCTTCGGGCAAACGGCATTCGGGCAAGTGTCTTTCGGGAAAACGTACGGCTCCCGCTTCTTTCAATGTGTTCACTCTGAATATCCTAATATGGTTTTTTAATCATTAAATTCTAGACCAATCAACTTTAAAACAACAAAAACAAATTTCCTAATTACTTTTCCAAATGAGTTCTTCAAATACAAAATTAGGGCACCCCGTCAAAAGAGCGCACGACAAAAGAGCGCCGACATAAGAGCGCAGACAAAAGAGCGCCGACATAAGAGCGCCGACATAAGAGCGCACTAATATCCCGACAAAAGAGCGCCGACATAAGAGCGCAAACTAAAAATCGAAAAACCATATTTAATTTAAAAAAAAAACAACAAGAAAATTAACTCAGATCAGAAGGCATAGTTTGATGTTAACTCTTTATTGTTTCATTAAAAAACTAATTGTTCAGTTTCTTTAACTAAAAAACTGGTACAATCTACGTGAAGTCCAATTATTCAAAACGCAATCTAATAACACATACAAAGATTTTAAATGTTAGGCCTAAAGTGAGAATATAAACTGAAATGAAATGTAACAAAATGAAAATAAGTTCAAATTAATAAAACGTTTCTTTATAGTTGCATTTATATTGCTAAGTTGTGGGCTATACCTCGCAGGTAGTCCATCATTAAATCATTAGCATTGGTTGAAGCAATCGCCTGCAATCTTCGGTTCAGCTGAACATATTTTTTCTTTGAAGCTTCTGGTTGTCGTTTGAGAGGTTCAGGAATTATCTCTGCAACGTTCTGCGGATTTGGGTATGGCAGCTGCGTTATTGTGTTCTGATGATGACAGAACAACATCGTTCAGCTTTTTCATCCGTCCTCAGCAGCCATCTTTCTTGCAGCATCTCCATGTCGTACTTCCATCAGCATTTGCTCTGTCCGGTCTATATCTGTAGCCTTCGACCAATATAATAACCTTCCCTTTCTGTGATTCGATCTTCTCCATGTTACTTGGGTTAGAAATATTGTCAAACTGCATTCATAACATAATGAATAATATTTAAATAAAGACTTTGTTCACTCGCCGATTGTTTAATTAAAACAAGTGTTAACCATGTCATATTCGTTTAGCGTATAACATGTGTTTTTTTAATTGACTGCGCTCTTATGTCTGCGCTCTTTTGTCTGCGCTCTTTTGTCGGCGTTCTTATGTCGGCGCTCTTTTGTCTGCGCTCTTATGTCGGCGCTCATTTGTCGTGCGCTCTTTTGACGGGTCACCCAAAATTAGTAGCCTATTCGTTCTCTACTTCGACTCAACCTAAAAAAAATTAAGCCTATACACATGATGAAGAACTACGCCATCTGTGCAAGCAGGACAAATTTCATTATCTAGCATAAATCCTCAAGTTTTAAAATTGCGTAGCAAAGAAGGCCATGTTTAACCCAAGTTTACCGCTACAACACGACATGTTACGTACCTCAGTGACCCTGTTGCACACGGCACAGTATCTGTTCTTGTACACCACCTGAGTGACGTTGTCCACAACTCGGGTGACGTAAGCAGTGGTGACGTCATCGTCCGACAGCTCCCCCTCACACAGCCTGACGGTGTCCTTGTCCCCATTGTAGTCCGCCAAACACGAGCGGACGTACAGGAAGTAGAAACTGGCGTATTTAGAATCACAGCCAAGTTTAGGCGGGGAAACTTTACTCTGGTTAAAAACTTGGACTGGATTTTGTTTAGCGGTCACAATACCTAGTACGGCTTCGGGATTGTTTTCTACAAGAATTGTTTCGTTAAATTTCGAGATGTTGTAGATTTCACTTTTTAATCCCGGGGGTGGGACGTAGTTGTCCTCCACACTGGGGCAGCATGAGCCGTAAATCTGGCAGGACGGTCGGTGGCAGGTGCAGGTGGTGCAGTAGAAGGTCGGACAGACCTGCTGCAGAATGTTGTTTGTGTAGACCAGTCGATCGCCCTGACACCTGGCGGGGCAGTAACTCTGTTGGTAGTCCCTGGAAGACACGGCCGTTTTGTTCCAGGTGTAATCAGTCACGTTGACTTGCTGTAAAGTTCTTGGTATTAGGGAATCACAGTATACAATTAGAACAACACACACATATATAGGTATCAGATGCATTTGGATATCATGAGACAGAATCACATCTATGTTTGTTGGTTCTGATGTAGGTGTTCATGCGAGTGTGGCTGGGGAAGATTGTTCCAGAAAAATCAACAACGTTACGGTTGACTGAGTCTGCGCAAACAGCGCGCGGTTCCAGATGATTGTAGACTCACGTTTAGTACCAGCAATCATGATACATTCACTTGAAGTAAAAGATTTTAATAAAGCCGTATTATAAAAAAAAATCTCACACATTAGAGGAGTATTTGCATCATTAAAATGCAATGTGTAGTCATTGTATATTGTTTTATTTTGTTTGTAGCGATCTGTTGTGTCGTGTCATGTATCTCTAATAATGTCTATGTTTTGTAATGTTGTGTAAAATGTTGAAAAAACGTGGGTTGATGCGTGATTGTGAGCAATTTTTAAAAAAAATTGTAATGTTTTTTTTTTTTTTAAATTTAGTTTTTCTCTTATTTATTCGAAACGTGGTCAATATTCTGAATCAATAAATTTATTCTTGACAAAACTTGATTAATATTTTCGAAAAAGAAAGAGGTTTTAACGCTGAATTTTCGACGTCATATTAATGTGTGGGGAGTGTGACGTTTGGTGACGATGTGTGACGATATGTGACGGTGTGTGACGATGTGTGACGGTGTGTGACGATATGTGACGGTGCGCGACGATGTATGACGTTGTGTGACGATGTGTGACGGTGTGGGAGGTAAAAAAAAATTGGCAAAAAAAGTTTCGGAGCTGAGTTGCCAAAAATCAGTGCAACAGGGAAACTTTTAAACTTGAGACCAAACCAAACTCGATATAGAGGAGTTACACACAAAAGTAAACGTGTACCATTACCATCATCAATCAACCAACATGAAGAAAATCAGCTTTAGGAAATCTTGAAATCTTTGTCTGTAAACCGGGAGAACTCACCATGAGCCATGATACAGCTAGATTCCAAATACGTTGAATACATGAAGAGCATACATAAAGGGAGACAACACAAATAATTTTTATGCCCCGAGATAAACTGGATATATTCCCCTTAAATGATAAAAAAATTTCAGCATTTTATAAATAACCCAAATCAGAAATTCAATGACTTATGATTCATCAACTACTGAATTATCCTTTAATATAATATTTCGTCTAATACACCCATAAATACAAATAATTAAATAGCTATATGTTTAGAAATCTATCTAAAAAGACATTAGACGCGTGTGGTGTGGTTGGATAGACATGCCTACTAATTCGGTCCAAATTTTAATTAATTCATAAAAATATAATTAGGCATCCAATTAAGTCAAATTTAGTTTCAGATTGCATTGT